TAAAATACAGAAAATATAACCTTGCGAAGTTTGCATATTTCAGTATGTTTATATTACGTGCGGAAATTGTTACCATTTTTGAGCCGAAAATGGTAGCAATTTCCGCACGTAATGCAAATATACTGAAACTATGCAAACTTCGCAAGGCTATATTTTCTGTATTTTACAACATTTCGCAACCAAATTTTGCAATTTTACTAATTTCATTATTCAGGGCTTTCAAAATAACCCGGCGGCCGCCGGAGTTCCGGTGTTACTGTGTTTAGTACTTGAATTGTCAATTCTGCTCTCTTTCCTTCACTCTGAGCTTTCAAACAAAGTTATTTTTCCTCAACTTGGTCCACTTTATATCGCCTGGTTATTTTCGAAAATGACGTACTATTTTGTAATACGTACTGATTTATGTTATTTGCCATCTTAAATCTTGAAGTTACTTTGTTGAAGAATGAAAGCAAGGGACTGGTCATGAAGTATAGGTGGGGTGCGCTATTGAAATTGAGGGGTCAATCAATTTTCCAAGTCTCAAATTTTAGACCGCCCCCTTCCAACAGCCGCCTACTTTATCAAAACAGACGCCTACTCTGAATAATTCTGAAAGCCCTGTTAGATTAAAATTTAGTGTAACATGCAAGTTGTCCACACCCTGGGACCAGGTTGTCAGGCTATATCTACCATAAAAATGGTCGAAACCTGTGAAGTCCGCGGAACTGGAGTTTGTAAATTATATAGATCCGTTCTTACGCAAAATACAAAATGGCTTACTATGCAGTGTTGAAACTGTCAATTTATTATCGTTATTATTTGAAAGTATGGATAATCTTGGGTCTGCATGAAGTGCGAGACATGCGAGGCACCAAAAACTTGCGAATCACACATCAATACAGCAGCGAGCCATGCATATTTCGCAGAAACGTTTCTATAATTAGATCAAATATATTTGTACGACTACTGTGTTATATTGTATATAATTTTAAAGCTTATAAGCTGAAAACAATGTTTTAATTTCTGTTTAATTTATAAGGTACGGAATAAATGTTGAAGATAGCCATATCTTGTACAGTATCAATCAGTATCATATATTTTACAGTACATGACTGCAACTACTAAATTCAACGAAATTGAATCTAAGTTTAGTTATTTGGGATAGCTTTATTTATTGTAGATTGAATGTTCTCACAGTGCAGGTCCATAGTTTTCCATTGTAACTTAGACTCAATAATTTATTTATACTAGAGGACACTATAGTTTGTTTAGTTTAGATCTTGTATTTGTCGTCCTTATAGACCTTACTCCTTAACACTGTCATGCACTGATATCGTGATATCAGTTTGTTTTGGAATTCCATCTGCATTAGTCAGTGATTATAACCTGTTCTTCATCAAGGTCCAGTGTAGGAAGACACTAAACTATAGATTACTTCATTTAATATATATACTCAGTCATGTATAAGTTTCAATTTCGCCGCGAAAGGCTTGTATCATTGCATAGTGCCGGAAATATATTTGTTTGGTATCTGTGGAAACATCACGTTTATTTTGTATTACTAGCTTTCGATATGTAAGCCTGCATGGATCTTCACCAATGTGTTAAATTATTTTAGCACCAACGATTTTGGGTCGAAAGCTTCGCCAAAGCCGAGACAAAGAAATGAACGTATCCACAAAACAAAACAGTTATATATATATTTTTACCATGCGAACCTACAAGGTCAAGGATCTTATTAATGTTATTTATCACAATGGTATCGAGATAACGAAATATCTTTAAAAAGCACAATACATTAATTATTGAAAAAAAAAACCACAAAATGCTTGAAAGCGTGACAATCTTTCCATCTCTAAATTACGGCAAATAAAAATATTTCGAAACTCTTTAAACCTTTATTTAGCTTTTGCGTAATTGCCTCAATGTTGGCGTAATTGCTTCTATACAAAGTCTTGTATTCTGTGTTATTTGCCCATGGGCATGGGCATGAAAACAGGCGAGTTTACTGCAATGGCAACGAAATTCAAGTCAGCGTTTTAGGCAGAAAGAGCATGTAAAACTGTAAAATAAGTTCACTGGACAACTTTTCTAGCTTATCTTTTTTCGTTCTCGAGATATGTAAATTAAATAAATCTATGGCATTATGCGAGTAAAATATTAGTATAGTCTGGTACTGATATATATAGAGGATATTACACGGCGGCGATTGTTTTCACCACTCGAAGATAAGGTTTTCACCACTCAAAGTCATATCTTCAAGCCACCGTGTAATATAATGTTCTGTTTATTATATAGTCCCAAGCAAAAAATTGTATAAATACTAAAAGTCATGTGATCGATATCTTCACTAGTGAAGATATGGAAAATATCTCACTGTGTATTTTTTTGCGGTTCCACTTTTACGCCTTCAAGGCTCAACAAATTATATGAGTTTCGACGTAATTTCAGAGTATTTTACGCCCTCACATTGGAGTGGCGTCCTCTTGCAAAATGTTAAAAAAAACCTCCCAAAGCAAACACACTTCGGCCCACATAATATAACTTCCTATATAACTGATTCTCATCACTGGTACATTGCCCTGTATATGAGGATGAAATTTTTTATAAGAAATTCAGTGAGCATACATGTGTACTCAGTAAGGAACTCAAGGAAGTAGGACTACAATGGTCAAGAGTATAATGAAAAAGAATTTTGACTGAAATGTGTCATTCCCAAAAAATTGGGTAAAATGTGGTGCATTTTCCCTCGCGTAATACAAATTAATACAAAATTTGCAAATTTCACAGGGCTATATTTTCCTCATTTTACAACATTTCGCGGCCAAACTTTGCTATTTCACTAATTCTAACATGCTCTTTCTAGTGGAAATGGATTTTGATACCTTTTTTCAGAAAGCGGTATCAATTTCCCGTGCGTAATACAAAATGACTGAAAAACGGCAAACTTCGCAGTGCTATATTATCCGCATTTTACAACATTTTGCAACGAAACTTCGGAATATTACTAATTTTGTGATGCTCTTTCAAGCTGTGATGAAATGTTTGTCTAGACTTGTCTAGATCAAAATTTTGTTCATTAGGTAGGGAATAGCTAGGTCCATTAAAGACCTAAAACCCTTACTCAGCTGGCTTCGGCAAGTTTGGTCAATTTTGGGCTAGCATTTGGTAACTTGTTCTGGCCTTGCTTTCATTCATTCAGTGAGCTCTATATATACA